AGCAGCAGCAGCTCCTCACAGAGAGGCCAGATACCTCTGAAAATATGGTATTAGAGGTTGGGAGGTGGGAGAAGATCATAGGGTGAGTGGCTTTTGCTCTTCTGTTTAAAAGAGTCCAGGAATTTGTCTCAGTATTGAGTTGAAAATTTGAATATTCAAATAAGCAGTGTAAGAATGCTTAGTTTTCAGCTTTAGATTTTATATTTGTCAGTTTCTAAATTTCCTTTGACAAGGATTTTGACTACCTTTGTATACTACTTATTTGTGTGTAAAACTGCCTTTTTAAAGCTATATATACAGAGAAGTGCACATACTAAAAATAGATGGCTCAGTGAATTTTCTAGAAACCAAATACACCCATGTAACCAGCCCCCAGTTAAAGAAAAGAACATTATGTATGGTTTTTGTATTGTATAGATTTATACAATAGAATTTTTTTATGTCTGGTTTCCTTTACTCAGCATTATGTCTTGAGATTCATCTACATTGTTGCACGTAGTTGTGGTTGGTTCATTTTCATTGCTCCACTTGACCATATCACAACTATTTTTTTTATCAATTCTGTTAGTGGACATTTGAGTGGTTTTCCATATAACATTACTATACACATCTAATACATATTTTTTGATTAATATGTTTGCATATTTCTTTCGTGGATGTCTATCAGGAGGGTAGTGGTTAAATGAACTATGGCATATCTATACAATGAAATACTCTACAGCTATAAAAAAGAAAAGATGTTCTCTACATATGTTATATTTGAAAATTATTTTTAGAATCTTTTTAATTATTTTGATTTTAAGTAGGATTTTTTGTTAGCATCCATTTGTGTACAAGTTATGAACATAAGGCTTTCAGTGATAATTTTTATTTAGAAATATTTTAGGTATATGTTCTGATTATGTGCTATTACATTGCAGAAAAATGTTTTTATATGCTCTGGTATTTTAGTTATTATCTTGTCAATAATGGATATTATAAACTTCAGGATTATTGTATTATTTAATTTTGCATTTATATTTCATGATGAGAGTAATTGCCTATCTAAAGATGTATTTTGTCTCTGATCACAGTGCTGAAATTAAAGAAAGGCAATTGTACTTGACTCTTAACTAAGCACTTAGATATTTTTCACTTGTCATTACATTTTTTAGTTTAAAGCATCAAATTAAATATTATTTTATCCTGGCTTTTATTTTAATTCATGCATTTAAAAACTGAAATTCAGATAAAAGATAGTTTCAAAATAAATTCAGTATATTATTTATGAGTGGAGCAACACATTAGCATTGGGTTCACAATAGATCATATCGCTTTTATTCCATCTTACAAGCTTAGCAGCACAAACAGAATAATCAACATATTATTTGGCTGTCATCTGCTGAACAGAAACCAGAGATCACAAGGAGGTTTTCCCTAGCTGTGGTGATGGCCTTTTTGTTCCAAGCCCCCATCTGGGAGGGCCATGGTGTGTTATCATATGGAACGCGGGGTTTTCTGTAATCTGCTTAGCTGCACTGCAGTTTGAATCTTCATTCCATGTTTGTGTAATTTATAATTTTAATGAGACCATGGCTCTTGTGGGCTTTGAAATATATTAAAAGCTCTTTTGTGCATATGCTTTTGTTCTTGCTTAATAGGCTCAGTGTATTTAAAACTGATGAATTTTTATTCATGAATTTGGATGTCTGGGGATTAACTTAGACTGAATATCATTACACTCATATATTGATGCTTGGAAAGTTTTTTTATTGTTATTTTTTTTTATGTGTGTCTCTGTGTCTGTGTGTCTGTGTGATACTTGCTACCAGAAAAGGAAGGAACTTACATAATTTTTAAAAGGCTAGGAAAAAGTGAAATGGCTAGATCAGAAAGAATTGATTTAGATTTTATCTATCTTATTGATACTCATATTTCATCATTAGTCTTAGTATTTTTGGATAAATATTATAAAGTAATAATTATGAAAAAGCAACTTTTAAGTGAGTTAATACCTCACATATTACTGTTTATATTGAAATAATATTCCAGTGTGTGACAAAGATAGACTTTGTATTTTAATTGTAGGACATCAGTTGTTGGGTCATACTAAATCTGCCTTTAACTTTCTTGAATTAAATTAGGTATATGTTTTATATTTTAACTATTTTATAGTCTTCCTTATTTCTGTAAAACCCTTTTTATTAATGGATTTTTTAACCTACAGTGATGAATATAATGAAAAGACTAATGGAAAAGCAGATTTCTAATAATTTACGAAATTGATCTTTTTTATTTTGCTAAACTAATGAAATACATTAAATGCTTCAAATCTCTATAGTTATTACTTCTAGTGTATTTTTAAATTTTGAATATAATATATAGCACCTTAGAAAAAAATCATGGCCCTTTCTAGATCCAGACATATTTTCTGAAGTTGCTGTCTATTGGATTCAATTAGTGGTAACATATAGACCTAATTAGTCCTTTTATGAAGTTGCCCAAGATGTATTTTTTGTACAATTCTATGTTTACTCGACTAAAGCATTTTTGTAACTATAAAACATCATTCTTTTTTGATATATGATGATCAGCAGTTTGGTTGGTCCCTTCTTCTCCCCCGTTACCCTTAAGCTAGAAATATGAAATACAGGCTGAAATGACAGCATTTTGTTCTTGTCTTAGCTTATCTATCAGACTTGACATTGGAATGTTTGTTTTTCCAAAATAACCGCCTGCTTTAGTATTTTTTATTAGTTGTGCAATTTCATTTAGCTTAGGAATTTATTATTGAAAATGTATGATTTGCTAATGCAGTGCTGTCCAATAGAAATATAATGCAAGTCATTTATGTATTTTATTTAATCCATTATATCCAAAATATTATCTTTCAACATGTAATCAGTATAAAATATTTTAGTATTTTTTGTACTATGTCTTCAAAGTCCAGTGTGTATTTTATACTCACATCTCAATTTGGACTAGTCACATTTCACATGCTCAGTAGCCATGTGTAGCTAATGGCTACCTTATTGAACAGGGTAGCTCTAAAGTACTACATATAAATATCATAACAGAAATGTGTATTTTTTGCATTCCTCATTACTTTTCTAGTAATATCCTACTCAAGTGACCAAAGAATATTCATGGGCTATGTAACTGAAATTACACAAGGTGTTTTTTTATAGCTCTACGACTGATTCTATTGGCATATATCTGCCTGATTAATACACAAAATCATAATTATGTCACCTGACTCCTGAGTACTTATCAGATATTGTATAGATATGCTTAAATATATTGTGATGATAAGGAAATAATGGCTAATGTATTGGATGTAGTATGCTCCTCAACAGTTGTGAGCAAATCAAACTTGTCAAACATATTTCAAGTATACCAAGAAGCTTAGTTTTATAAGAATCCCATGGCAAATATTAATGCTTTTTTTTTAAAATAGAGAACTCCTCATTCTTAGAATTTTCTGCATAGGTATTTTTGAATGTATATCCCTCTTTTCATATAAGTTTGCTTAGAGCTCATAGAGCTTTAAACTTGTTGGAAGAAAAAAACTGAACATAAAGTTCTCTAGGATTCTATACGTTTTAAATGCTCTGTATATATTCAAATATAAGGAGAGGGAACTTCATTAAATACTTTAGAAACATGTAGTTAAGAACTATAAAACTTGAGGGCGCCTGGGTGGCTCAGTTGGTTGAGCGACTGCCTTCGGCTCAGGTCATGATCCTGGAGTCCCGGGATCGAGTCCCGCATTGGGCTCCCTGCTCGGCAGGGAGTCTGCTTCTCCCTCTGACCCTCCCCCCTCTCATGCTCTCTCTATCTCATTCTCTCTCTCTCTCAAATAAATAAATAAAATCTTAAAAAAAAAAAAACTATAAAACTTGAGTTACAATTGATTTGAATTGATTCAAATATTTTAAAGTATAAATGATCAGGTGATGTGTATAAAATACTGCTACTGCACCCACTTAAAAAAGGTAGAGACCTTATGTGTAATTGACCTTCTTGCTCAAGTATGCTTTTGAGAGAAAATCATGAGATCTCTGAATTTTTCACATTTTGAAAATTTTAACACTTTAAAATTTTGAGGGAAATGAGCTAATTTTTATGTAATCTAACTCTTCTGTAGATATTGCATGATGCCCGTTGTATTCTTTTACTCAAATTTTTATTGACTTCTCTGTTACTTCTGCATTTAAAAGTGGTGACACAAAATGTTAAACTATTCTTTAAACAATACCTCTAGTTTCTTGGAGATGATAAATCCATCCATTGATTTCCTAATTTTATTATGTACACAGTCAATTGTAATCCAAGATTAAAGCAAACAAGATGTTAATTTCGAGCCATAATCTATGTACATTTCAATTACAGAGCATGATTGTTATAGAAGCACAGAATAAAAAGGAATAACATTTGTGCTATCCTCACAGGAGCTGTCAATAAAAGATGTAATAGGGGATTTAGGAATCTGGAAATGGCCAGCTAATTTATGTGAATCTATTTTATTTCAGCTAGAAAGACCAAGCTCTTTTTCGTCTGCAGTGCATATTGCAGAGCACAGGCTGTCTATAGAAAACCAGGCGGCTGCATATGGATAGTCCCTTGATATCATTCACTTGCTGTGTAATCTTATTATGCAAAGTTCTAATCTTCACCTAGAATGAATGCCTCTGGGTCAGAATATAGTCATATCAGGGTTTTTGAGGTCATGTTTTGTGATCCTTAGCTTATTCTTCTAAGTAGAGCTGGGATTTAAAGGGTATTCCCCAGACGCTAGCAGAGATAGACAGCAGAACCTGCTGCCTTTTTGGAAGACAAGACCAACATGAGGTCCCTGGTAGGATTAAACTTGATTTGTAGCTGTAGGATTTTTTAACAGATATATTATTGGACAGGGAATAGGGGGCCACCAGCACAGCAAAATTGAATCACGACTGGCATTCTCAGGGAGTTTGCTGCCTGCTAAAACAGCAGCTGCATGTGGATTTGACTTCTTTCAGGTGAAGCGACTTCCAGTCATTTGGAAAGGATGGGATGAAAAGGAACCTTGGTGATAATTTTGATGTCTGCAAGATTTAGTACCAGTGTAATGGGATTATCGGTAACACCTTCACTGCAGAAAAAGCCACCTGGCGCTATAACTGGCAGCAACTGAGAACTAATCCTTTCCCATCTCTTGGATGTCATTCATGAAGCTCAAAGCGATTTCTACCCTGCTAACTGTGATTAATTTTATAAACAACAACAACAAAAAATCAGGTGATCAAGGCAAAGAATATGCTTTTTATTATTTTTAATGTGTAGCCTTATTATAAGCTATATGACTTATAAATTATGTAAGACATACATAAACTATATGTATAACTTAAAATCTATTAAAATGTTCAAATAAAATTAATTATTAATGTCATACTTTTTCGAGTTGAGTGACAATGTATTTGCTATTATTAAAGATTTATATTTGAGATTAAATATTAATTTAAATACTTTAGTTTTCTTTTGGCTATAAGGCCATTATCAATAAATTAATCAAAATATTTGTAGGTGTAAGGAATTGGAATAACTTGTTTTGTCATACATTTTACCTGTTTCTGACTGCTTTGATTCCTGATTAAATGTTTTTAGTGAGTAAAATCTTTAATGATATAAAAATAGACATATTTTTAATGGGAATTTATTATATGGGAATTAAGCAGGATAATTCAGGTAATGCTAGCTCAAACTGATGAACTTTTTGTGAAAGTGTATGATCTTAATATATAAAAGTCCTTAAAATAGTTAATACTGAATGACATTTTTTAAAATCAAATTCTTAGTGAAAGTTTTCCTTTAGCAAGTAGAGGGTTAGTTGTTATTTGCTCTAGAATCATGTATTAGCTAATTGAGGTTTTTTTAAGCATTTTATTTAAACTAAAAACTTTATCAAGTACTTTGTTTAGAGGTGTTAATTATTTTAATATTCTTCTCCTACATGGTCCAGAATAAACTGAAAGAAAATGAAGTGAAATTATCCCATCAGTCACCCAAACAGTATACAACATAACTGCCAAGAGTAGAAAAGATAATTAGTGTTGTCAGTGTTATGATCCTAGAGTACTTACTTTTAAAATATTTATTCATAGAACTTGATTTTTATCTTGTTGTTGTTTTTGATTTAGTAGCTTTATATTTAAAAAATAGATTATAAAACCTTAATCTTAATGTTTTTATACTTTAAATTTTAAATATAGGCAAATAAAATAATTTTTGCAATTATAAGAATTATTAAAATATAATCATCCAGTATATACAGTGCATTGATTTACTTGTAGCCTCTGTTTACATATAGTACATTTTATTCTTCATAGGAGATCTTTATCAGAAAAATCAATAAATATAAGAAATTTATGTAGAGATCTTTGGTCAAACCTACCTGGCAAACTTGTCATTATTAGTGGATTTTGTTTTAACTGGTTCCAAGCTGTTGTATTCCAAAATGTGTTTCTTCATTGTTGTCATATTTTAAGGGAATGGGTGGGAAAGCCTAACAGTATTTTTACTGAACTGTATTATGTTAGTTTATAAAGGACTTCTTTAGCCTTCTGTTGGTATTTTTACTAGTTGAAAAAGTGTTCATTTAAAATTCTACTATCACAGTGAAAAGATCTATCCATGAAATGAGCAGACTAAATTCTTTTTCATATCCTTATAGTATAATCACTTATATTTTAAATATAAAATTTTTGGTTTATATGTAATTTCAAATTATTTTGCCGGGTAGTGTATTTTCTCAGGGTAACTTTATGGTAGTTAATAGTATTTTATAATTATTTTTTAAAGTAGCTTTCCTTTCAAAACAAAATTTTTCTCAAAGCTTTTATTAAACATAGTCAATATTTACTTTTCTGCTTTTTACTCAGCTGTTTACTAAATGGCTCTTGAGAGTTAGTATTTTTTCCTTTTCCATCCTAGGCATTCTTATTTGATTAGAGATGGTTATTTCCTTTGGAAAACCCCAAATAAACTCATCTTAATTAAAAGGTCTTCTCAGTGATACACATTATTTTCAGTTGGATTCAAGATCACCCGAATTTAATATCTTCTTGGTAACTTATGAGAAATTTGACTCATCTTTGAAAGCTACAAATAGTAAATTTATTGGCACAGGTGACTAATGATGTCATAAAAGTTAAGGGAGGTGATTTTAGAGATAAGAGAAAGGGAGATAGACTGAGAGAAATGATAAGAAATTTTTAAAAAGGAGTAAGTCAGGTGTAACAAAAGCAGGATGGGAATCATAGGAATTTTGATTATTTAAGAGATTCTGAGCTTTTTTTTTTCTTTTTTGACAATTTATGAGACTTAGTATCTCTCTAAAGGACCATACATGAACTGTAGACTGGCACAGTGACAGCTAGCCTATGATAAAGCTAAATGATACTCTTCCATCTGAATGAATACCCTTCAGCTATTGCACATACAACTTGTGTATTCTGAAATGGATGGATTTTATAAAGTCATTGGGGGATTATTGGTGGATGAATGGGATGCTTTTGGTATTTCACTCTTTGGAAGCTGTTATTTGTCTGAAAAGTGTTAACTGCTTATAATTTATAAGTATAAAATGAGTTTTGGTATTTGGATATATATAAAAAGTGAACTTCAGAACATAACACTGGATTTTTAAAAATCATTGAAGTGTTAGCATAATAAAGTTTGATGATGAAATTGAGAGTTCTCCCAAAGTTAACATTCAGTTTAAAAATAATGAATGGTTAAATTTTGTCAAATTTCTGAAAATGTCGAATATGTCTCAGTGGTCCCAAATGACAGCACAAAGTCCTTTATGGGGCGTCCTTTCTGGGAGCTTATTAAAACTATAGATTCTGTAGCCTTGCTCCCACAAATTCTCATTCATTAGCTCTATGATGGGAGCCTGGGAATTTGGATTTTGAATTAGGTTCTCAGTTTTTTGTTGCTGCACTCATATTTAAAGCATTGAATACTTTAAACCTTAAAGTGAGGGCGATTATTTCCTCTGGAAGTGCATAAAAAAATAGTTTTAAATAAAATCTTACAGATTATGGGGATCAGAACTCCTTAATTTATAGTTCTAGAAAAATACCCTCTGCACAAGTCTTACAGTAGATTTAACATTATAGATTTGAACACTTCATGAGCAGCCCTGAGGTGATTTTGAAATGGCAGGAATTTGAATTACTTGGATGTAGAGGCTGCTGTGTGAGAGTGAATTATTTAGCTCTTGAGCAGAGTATACCACTCAGCATCCATGTCTTAATAAGTCTGTTCTCTTCTTGTCACAATAACTTCCATGCAGGTTCTGAAATGGACATATATCTTTCAGTTATTTTATATATAATCATTATATGGAAGAAAAAAGTAGCTTGTGTAGATATTCTTGAATTTGAGAAATCACAGGAAGTCTCAGGAATGTCATTCTTATCCAAATGAGGGTAAATATAGTAAAACTGTAATGTCAGGATTTTTCTTCTTCACATCTACTTCTCTCTCCTCCCCTTTTATTAATGTGAACATTTCTTTAAATGCTAATGTGTTCACTAACTGTTCTTATCAGAACAATGTTTTTGTTTTGTAATCTGTTTGATTATGATTTTAATCACTTCTTTGGCTGCTTATACTTTAAAATGAATGAATTTCTGTAAATTGGTAGTCTCAATTAACATTGATACTTTACTTTTTTCCCCGAAAAGATGCATATATCTTTTCGAATTAGTGTTTTTGTTTACTTTGCATAAATATCCAGAAGTGGAATGACTGGGTTGTATGGTATTTCTATTTTTAATTTTTTGAGGACCCTCCATACTGTTTTCCATAGTTGCTGCGCCAGTTTACATTCCCACCAACAGTGCATAAGGGCTTCCTTTTCTCCACATCCTGGTGAACATTTGTTCTTATCTTTTTGATATAGCCATTCTGACTGGTGTCAGGTGATATCTCATGGTTTTGATTTGCATTTCCCTGATGATTAGTAATATTGAGCATTTTGTCATGTGTCTGTTGACTATCTGTATGTCTTTGGAAAAATGTCTACTCAGGTCCTCTGCCTATTTTTTAATTGGATTATTTATGGGATTTTTTTATTTTTTGGTATTGAGTTATATGAGTTCTTTATATATTTTGGATATTAATCCTTTTTCAGATATATCATTTGCAAATTATCTTCTCCCATTTAGTATATTGCCTTTTCATTTTGTTGATGGTTTAACTTAACTGTGTTTCCCTTGCCTGAGGAGACAGATCCAGAAAATATTGTTAAGACTGATGATATCCAGGGGATTGCTGCCTATGTTTTCTTTTTTTTAAAATTCTATTTTATTATGTTATGTTAGTCACCATTCATTACGTCATTAGTTTTTGATGTAGTGTTCCATGATTCATTGTTTGTGTATAACACCCAGTGCTCCATTCAGTACGTGCCGTCCTTAATAACTGACACTGGACTAACCCATCCCCTGACCTCCCTACCCTCTAAAACCTCAGTTGGTTTCTCAGAGTCCATAGTGTCTCATGGTTCATCTCCCCCTCCGATTTCCCCCCCTTCATTTTTCCCTTCCTACTATCTTCTTTTTTTTTTTTTTTTTTAAACATATGATGTATTATTTGCTGCCTATGTTTTCCTTTAGGAGTTTTGGTTTCATAAATTTAGGCCTTTAATCCCTTTTGAGTTTATTTTTGTGTATGGTGTAAGAAAGGGGCCCAGTTTTGTTCTCTTGCATGTACCTATCCAGTTTTCCCAGCACCATTTATTGAAGAGACTGTCTTTCCCCCACTGTATATTCTTGCTTCCTTTGTCATAGATTAATTGACCACGTAAGTGTGGATTTATTTCTGGCCTCTCTGTTCTGTTCCATTGATCTGTGTGTCTGTTTTTATGCCAGTACCCTACAGTTTTGATTACTATAGCTTTGTAGTATAGTTTGGAGTATAAGATAATAGATTTGTGTTGTTTCAAGCCCTAACTTTACAGTAGGTTTTTTTTGTTTTTTAAGATTTTATTTATTTATTTGACAGAGAGAGAGGAACACAAGCAGGGGCAGTGGGAGAGGGAGAAGCAGGCCCCCCGTGGAGCAGGGAGCCTGATGCGGGGCTCGATCCCAGGACCCTGGGACCACGACCTGAGCCCAAGGCAGACGCCCAATGACTGAGCCACCCAGGCGCCCCTACAGTAGGTTTTTTACAGCAGCAACAGGATACTAATAACGTCTGTAACCAATTCTCAGTTTATCAGCCTGCTTTATTCTGGGAGTTCCCAATTTCTGCTCATGCATGACATCAACTCCTGAGACAGAAAATAAAAACCCGGAGCAATAGCTCCCTCATCTTTCTACTGTAAAACTAACAAAACTACTGGTTTCTAAACCCATCTTGTTTACCTTCTTATTATGTTGGAAAAACTATCCCAACTTCTGTAAAAAGCCAATCTATTTTTGTTTGATCCCACCCTCTCCGGCCCTGATTGATTGATTGATACACACACACACACACACACATACACACTTGTGTAACCACTACTTGGGCTCAAATACCTGCCCCACAAATTTAGTGACTTTTCTGACTTCTCCTCACTGATTAGTTTTGTTTATATTTGACCTTCATAAAAGTGAGTAATATAAATGGAATCATGTAACATGTATGGAATCATACATCTTTTGTGTTTGTCTTTTTCACTAACCTTATATCTGTGAAATTTATTCATGTTGTTGCATGTAGCGGTATTTTATTCCTTTTCATTGCTGTGTAGTGTCTGGTTGTAGGAATATACCAAAATTTATTCATTCTCCTAATGGTTAGTATTTGGGTTGTTTATAGTTTTGGGATATTATGAATAAAGCTGCTATGAAAATTCTTATATATGACATTTAGTGAATATAAGCATCTCTTTCTGTGGGTATATATTAGGACTGCCAAACAGTTTTCCAAATGAGTTGTATAAATTTATTCTTTCACCATCAATGATTGATGGTTCTAGTTGCTCCATATCTTTTTCAGCTTTTCGTATTGTCTTTGTAATTTTAGCCACTGTGATGGTTTTATGGTAACATCTCTTATAATTTGCAGTTCCCTGATAAATAATGATGATGAGCTTTTCATATCAGCTAGTTGGGTATCCTCTTTTGTGAAATCTTCGTGTTGCTTAATTTTTGTTAGGTTGTTTTGTCTTTTTTTAAATGGATTTGTTGGCATTTTCTGTATATTCTGAATGTTCCTTTTCCAGACATATATCGAGAGATCACTGTATCTTTCTCTATAGATACAGATATTTTTCCCTGTTTTTTTGCGTTTTTAAAAATGGTGTTTTTGATATATAGAAGTTTTTAATTTTAGCAAAATCAGATTGATCAGTCTTTTAGGATTAGTGTTTTAGCCTTACACAGAAGTATTGAAGATAATCTCCATTTTCTGCTAGAAGTATTATTACTGTACCATTCATATGTTTGTCTGTAATCTCTCTCAAATTAATATTTATACTTGGTGAGGTTACAGGTTAGGGTTTGTTTTTTTCCCCCAATATGTGTATCATTGACCTAGCACCAATTATTGAAAAGACCATCCTTTTCCTACTGGACTGTACTAAAACCTTTGTTATAAATCAGAAATCCATGTAAGTGTAGCACTGTTTTCTTGATTCCATTGGTCTGTTTGTCTAAATTTACCACATATAATATTCTCTTACTGTAAACTTATCATGAATCTTGATATTTGAAGTAAGCTTCTCCAGTTTTATTCTTTTTAATGTTTGCCTTGGCCACTCTAGGTCTTTTGCATTTCTATATATGTATCTTACAATGAGTATGCCATTTTCTACTGGAAAAAATCTCCCCTGGAATTATACTGAATGTATATTGAATGAGGGAGAATTGGTAACACTGGAAATGCTTCGAATCCCTAAGTATAGTGTATCTTTCTCTTGTTTAGGTCGTCTTCATTTTCTCTCAGCATTGTAAAGGTCCTACACATTTCCTTTGACTTTGTCTTAAGTATTTGATGCTTTTTAGTATTGCTGTATATGGTATTTTATTGTTTTTTAAGTAAGTCATATATAGTATTTTAAAATTTTGTTTTCTAGTTGATTTTTGCTAGTACATAGAAATTCAGTGATTTTTTGCATACTGATCTTGTATCAAGAGACCCTGCTAATGCATATGTTTATTCTTTGTCTATGTAGAGAAGTCCCTTTTGTTAGTGATGACCTTTAACTTTTCCTTTCCAGGTTTTGTATCTTTTTTAGTGAATTGTCATGTCATTAGTTTACCATTAATATGATGTGGGCTCTAAGATTTTGTTATTGTTGTTTATTTGTTATTGTAGATAATCCTTATAGTTTCAAAGAAGTCCCCTTCTATTCCTAGGTTTATCAAAAGAAGTGTTGAATGTTATCAGATACTTTTACTGCGTGAATGTAGGTGTTCACATGATTTTCTTTCTTTTTTTCTTTTTTTCTATGAATAAATAATTGATTTTAAAATGTTATGCTGGGGTACCTTGGTGGCTAAGTCAGTTAAGCGTTGGGCTTCACACTGGGCATGGAGCCTGCTTGGGATTCTCTCTCTCCCTCTTTCTCTCCCCTTCCCCCCTTAAAAAGTTATGCCAACTTTCTGTCCTTGGAATAAACTCCATTTGCTCATGCTCTTTTTAATATACCATTGTATTCAGTTTGTTGATTTTTGTTTAGGATTTTTTGTATTTATGTCAATGAGAGAATTGGTCTTGTAATTTTGCTTTCAAGTTTTGGTATCAAGGTTATACTGACTGCATAAAACCAGATGGGAAGTATTCCTTCATTTTCTGTTCATTTACAGAGTTTATGATTGATGTTATTTCTTCCTTAAATGTTTGGAAGAATTTATCAGTGAAGCAATCTGGGCCTGAATTTTTCTTTGTGGGAATATTTTTAATCACAAATTTCTTGTATACCTCATAGGACTATCCAGAATTTTAATTTCTTCTGTCAGTCTTGGGAAGATGTATCGGTTAAATTTAACTTAATTTAAAATGTTAGAGTTATTAAGCTAAAGTTTTTGTAACATCCTTCTAAGATATTTAATGTTTGTCGGATCTCTAGTGTTGACTCCTTTTTTTAATCCTTATACTGATAATTTGGGTTCTCTCTCACATTGTTTTTTTCTCTGATCAGATCAAGACCTGCTAGGGTTTATTAGTTTTACTAATTTTGGAAAACAACCAGCTTTTGGTTTCATTGACTTTTGCTATTGTGTGTTTGCTTTTTTTGTATCTTATTTATATTTATTTTATATTTTATGTTATGATATTTTTATATCATTGATTGTGTTACTATTTTCTTCTCTGTAGTTTCTGGTTTTAATCTGTGCCTCTTTTTCTATCTTTCTGAGATAAATGCTTAGGTCATTAATTTTCATCCTTTTGTGTCATATTTTCCTTATTGTTTAGTAAAAATGGGAATTTTTAAAGATGTATGTTCTTTAACTTCCAAGCATTTGCAAATGTTTAATTACCTTTTTGTTACTGAATTCTAGTTTAACTCTTCTGTTAAATATTTCAGAGAATATAGAATGGTTTTTCAGTCCTTTGAATTTTTAAAATCCTTTTATTCTTATGAAATATTTATTTTTGTCTTTAGTACTACCTTAGAGCCTGTTTGTTCATTTATTGATATAAATAAATGGTGAGTATGTGTGGAATTTCTTTTATTTTCATTATTTCTGTTACCTAATATTTAATGTTTGTGACTAGGAAATGTGGCTGGTTTTGTTTTAAATCTAATCTGGCAATCTTCATCGTTTAATTGGCATATTCTTTTAGATTTAATGGACACTATTTTTGAATTAAGTCTACCATCTTTCCATTAGTTTTGTGTTTGTGTCATGTTTTTCTTTTATTTCTCCTTGCCTTCTTTTGTAATCATAGTATTTTTCCTCTCTCAGATCTTTTTTCTTCTATTAACTTATGTTATATAATCTTTCAATTTTTATTTTTTATATTATAACATGCATTTTTGGCTTTATATTGATTAACTCAGATACCACTTTAACACTGAGAACTGTGCAAAAACTTACTAATTTAACTTCATTTAACTCCCTTCTACCTTTTGTGCTATTGTTGATGTAAATAATACTTTAACATGTCTTATAGCCCTAAAAACATTTTTGTTATTGTTTCAAATGGTTTCATTATCTTTATCTAAATATGTACTCTGAGTTTTCTTTGTTCTGTTTTGCATTTGCCTGTTTCATTTTGTTTTTGCCTGAATTACTCCCTTAGTATATATACAGGTGCACTGGCAAAAATTTTCTCAAAACTTGTTTTCTGAAAATGTTTTTCATTTTGCTTTAGCTTTTAAGGGATTTTTCACTGAGTATAGACTTATAGATGGGTACTTTTCAGCACTTTAAAGATGACATTGCATTTTTTTCTGGTTTCCATTTTTCTTATAAAAAGTTAGCCATTCTGTTGAACAGACAGAATTATTCATTTGAAAAGTAGTTTATATTTCTGACCACTTTTAAATTTTTTTGTCTTTTTTTTTTTTTAAAGATTTTATTTATTTATTTGAGAGAGAGAGAATGAGAGAGAGCACATGAGAGGGGGGAGGGTCAGAGGGAGAAGCAGACTCCCTGCCGAGCAGGGAGCCCAATGAGGGACTCGATCCAGGGACTCCAGGATCATGACCTGAGCCGAAGGCAGTCGCTTAACCAACTGAGCCACCCAGGCGCCCTTTTTGTCTTTTTTTAAAGACTATTTTCTTAGAGCAGTTTAAGATTTACAGCAAAATCAAGGGGAAGGTACAGAGATTTCCCATGTACTCCCTGTCCCAACACATGCATAACAATGCCCATTATCGATATCCCCCTCCAGAGTGGTACATTTGTTATAATTGATGAACCTACATTGACACATCATAATCATCCAATGGTCATAGTTCACAGTTTATTCTTGGTGTTGTATATTCTTTGGCCTTGGTCAAATGTATAATGATGTATTCATCATTATAGTACCATAGAATTTTCACAGCCCTAAAAATCCTCTGTTCTTTGCCCATTCATCCCTCCTCCCAATCGGCAACCATTAGTCTTTTTATTGTCTTCACAGTTTTGTCTTCTCATTGTCTTAATTTCAGTAGTTTTACTGTACTGTGCCTGGATGTATTTTTTTTGTTTTTTTTTAAGATTATTTACTTATTTGACACAGAGAGAGACAGCTAGAGAGGGAACACAAGCAGGGGGAGTGGGAGAGGGAGAAGCAGACTCCTGGCCGAGCAGGGGGCCTGATGCGGGGCTCGATCCCAGGAGCCTGGGATCATGACCTGAGCCAAAGGCAGACGCTTAACGACTGAGCCACCCAGGCACCTTGTGCCTGGATGTATTTTGTTTGTTTCTTTTGATTTATATTGTTTAGGGTTTGCTAAGTTTCTTGAACTTGTGAGTTAATGTCTTTTATCAGTTTTGGAAAGCTCTGTACCAGTATTTCTTCAAAATATTGCTTCTGTCCTATTCTTTTTTTCTTTAGATCCATGATTATACTTGTTTACTGTGTTGTCCACCTGTTTTCCTTCCTGTGCTTCAGTCTGATTACTGTCTCCCAACCTACCTTCAAGTTTACTTCTGTTAGGCTGAGTCTAACCTGCTAGTAATTGTAATGAATTTTAAATTTTAATTTATTCTGTGGTTTTGTGTTGTGTAGAATTTTCACTTGACTTTTTAATAGTTTTATTCTCTCTTCAACTTCACCATCTTTTCCCCCATTTTTTTGAATGTTAGTCATAGTTATTTTCATCTTTGTATTAATACCAATATTTGAATCACCTGTTTTTTTCTGTTGGAATTTCAGTCATTTTGTTCTATTTTATAACATGCTTTGATTGAATGAAGTCACTTGGTCATATTTTATAGCATGCTTGTAATCATTCATTGAATTAAATGAAAAATTGTAATAACCCAGTTTAAAAAACTGTCAGGGGATTGAATAGATAGTTCTCCAGGGAAGATATAAAAATGACCAATAAACACATGGGAAAGCTGCTCAACATCATTGGTTATTAGGGAAATGCCAATCAAAGCCACAATGAGATACCACTTCACTCTTACTAGGATGGCTCTAATCAAAATGTGGACAATAACAAATGGTACTGGCAGTAATGTGGGGAAATTGGAACCCTTATACATTGCTAGTGAAAATAAAAAATGGTGCAGCCACTTTGTAAAAACAGTTTGGCAGTTCTTCAAAAAGTTGAACACCATTTTCATATGACTCAGCATTTTTACTCCTAGATATATATCTGAGAGAATTGAAAACATGTGACCACACAAAAACTATACACAAATGTTCATAGCACATTCTTCATAATAACCAAAAAGTGAAAACCCATATGTCCATCAACTGATGAGTGGACACAGAAAAATGATGTATCCATGCATTGGAATAATATTCAGCCATAAAAAGGAATGATGTGCTGAGGCATGCTACAATAAGTATGAACCTTGGAAACATTGTGCCAAGTAGAAGAAACCAATACAAAAAACTCCACGTATTGTATGATTCCATTTGTATAAAATGTCTAGAATAAGCAAATCCATAGACGCATGGTTGCTAGGAGCTAAAAGGAAGGGGGCAAGAAATGGAGAGTGACTGCTAATGGATGTAGGGTTTTTTTGTTTTTCTTCTGAGATGATGAAAATTTTCTGGAATTAGATAATGGTGATAGATATACTAAAAGCCTTTGGATATACTAAAACCACTGAATTTCACAACTTAAAAGAGTGAATTTAATGGTATATGAATTACATCAATTTTTTTTTTTAAAAAGGTCTTCCTACTCCAAGGTTATAAAAGTATTGTAGGAATTCTAAAGAATGTTGAGTTCTATGAAAATTAAGGGTTTTAGTTTTGTTTTGTTTTTCCCCAGCAGGTAGTGTATGAATAGGTTGCTTTAATCCTGTGTAGGGTTGGTTGTATTTTTTGTTAAGGCTGATCTATTTCAGTTTTGCCCTCACTCCCAGTGGTAACCTTACTGTAGTCCTAACTAAGATGGGTAACCTTGGAGTGAAGTCCAGCCCCTATCTCCCTCACAGTGTGTGTGGTTTTCTGTGGTTGCTGACGTCTTTGCTTAGGTTTCTAGCCTTTTCACCTACTGCTTTCTGCTGATATTCTGGGAGTCACACACTGCTCCGTGGCCGTTTAGGAGTTGGCTAGGACCTCATGGAGAGATTGCATGCAGACTTGTGGTCCCTTCCTGTTTGCAGCTTGACCCCCACATGCCATCTTCTTTGACAACCACAGATTCCAACCTCTGTCTTGGCTAAGTGGGACTGCCACTTTCTCCTAAAATTCTTATTTTCCTGTGCTGTGAATTGGCCAATACTCTCAGAGAAAAGGCCAAGTGAATGTGGAGCTTACCTTATGTTCTTCCTTCTTTCATAGATCCTAGCCCCTCACATTCTGCCTAGATTGCTGCCTAATGCATCTAAACAGCTCTTTTGTATATTTTATTCAGATTTTATAATTGTTTTCTTGTTTTCATTAAGAAGGTTAATCTGGTACAAACTACTCTGTCAAAACTGTCATTGAAGTCCTCCTCTTGCCTCCTTTCTTCAGTGTTCAGTCATCTATTTCCCCATCTTTTTTCCCTTTCTCATCAGTAATTGCTCCTCATCATTAGCCTCTCTCCCTGTGGGATTCTTACCATTGGCTCTCAAAGCATGCTGCTGTGTTTCTATGTTTAAAAAAACCTGTTCAGTACTATATTCTTTCTATTATTCTACTGCAGTGGTTCTCAACTGAAGCTGGTTTTGCTTCCCAGGGAACATTTGGTAATGTCTGGAAACATTTTAGATTGTCACAACTGGGGAAGGGGATACTACTGGAATCTAGAGGCCAGAGTTGCTAAAAATCCTACAATGTGTAAGATAGCTCTCCACAACAAAGACTTGTCTGGCCCCAAGTGTTAATATTGCTGAAGATGAAAAACCCTGCTCTACTTTTTAGCTTTCCTGAATAGCCAGACTTTTCTGAACAGTTGACTGTTTATATTGTCTCCTTTTCTGCATCTCCCTTTCATACTTTTTAAAAAGTTTTAATTTTTTACAGGTAGTACCCAGATGATTTTTAAGGGTAAAATAGTGCTATAATACTTATAAAGAAAATAGCAGTATTCTCCTAGCACCCCTTAATTACATAGTTTTGGCTAGTTAGATGTAAATGGAAAAAATTTTTTTTCCTAGATAAAAGAACAACAAATTAGTAGGGAGTAAACTCTTAATAATTTTTTCTGCTTGTAACTTGGATGTAGCAGCTAATGTTGTTAGAAAATAAATATCTTCCTTGTTTAAATTACTGTTCTAGTTTTCTCTTGTTTGCAGTACAATACAATCCTCACTGAGATAGGGGTTTTTTTAAGACTTGTCATGTATGAAACTTGCTTTGAGCTCCAGTCTCATACACATCCACTTGAAAAATTATGAATGTATCAAATTTAACATGACCAAAACTGAACTGTTTTCTATTCCAAATATGGGTATGAATAAAACGATGTGGATAGACCTCGATTAACCCCCTCAGAAACTTGAGAGTCATCCTGATTCTTTCCTTTTCCTTGCCGTTCATTTTGCCTCCTAAATTTCTCAAATCCATTCATTTCTCTTCATTTCCACTGACATCAGTGTAGTGAGT